TCAGGATGTCTTTCAAGAAAGGCATGTTGTCTCTCCAAAGTCCTCTGTCATTTATGTCGCACCTTGTGTAGATAGATGTCTTGGATATTCTGAGGCATCTCAAATGACCCTGGATGTCTCTATTTAGGCAGATAAATTAATCCCTGAACGAATGAGCTCCTGTTTCAGTCAATGGAGACCTAGTCAATACGGTTAACATAATCCTTAAAGCTATTCATCTCACTAGAAGGTAAACACCTGGGGTTCAGTTCTGCTTGGTTTATTTCTGAATATTTCAGAATTATTACAGATTATCTATAACAGTGGGATGCATTTGTCTCTTATCAGAGTAACATTTTGCTTTCATTATTTTAGAAAAATGCTTCAGCTTGTGCTACTTTTTACTAATATGCAAGTGATCTGGGTTACCTATGGAAACAAATGTTCCTTGGCTGAGTGTAAGGCTGTGTACAGAAAGTTGTTTAGGAGATATATATCCGTATGTATATAAAAGAAAATAGTGTGAGAAAATGGGTGTGGATGCTAGAAAGGAATAGGAGTAGTAGCATGTATTCCTGGATTGCATGATTAGTATTATTTGTAGGGATGAATGAACATTTAAAGATTGCCATTTGAATCTGTTTGGTTTTGAAGTTCAAAAGAAAAAATCTTTAAATACCTTTTGAAATTCCAATTAAGAGTCAGTCAAAATCCATGACTAAAAGAATAGTTTTTGTTTTACAAATTAGCAATTAAAAAGTGACAAATATCTTCAATGCTTTAACACTCTTCTGCAATACCCATTATGTTCAAATAGTACTTTTCCTGGGAACATGAGTATGTCCCTCAGAATTTCCTTTTTTTTCCTTTCTCTTAGGAATGCCTTTGGAAGCTCTCTATCTAACTCTAAAGCTGCACTCACTTCACCAGTACTGGGGATTATGCAAATCATTCCATGAATAGTTTAAAATCACATTCATGTTTTCTAGTTTCAAATTATAATATGGGTGGCTTATTTTGCTTTTATGTTTCTTTTCCTGATGTTTTTTACTAGTTTCTTTTTTCCTTTGAGTTTCATTTAATTATTTAATTGAATTACTTTAATTATTTATTTATTCAGTTTTCTTACTAGAGTAGTAATAATTAGGGAAAGGAAATTTTTTTGTACTACAAGACTATGCAAAGTCTTGAACTGAGATTATTTTCCTATTTTAATACTCATTGTTCGTGTTTAACGTTTATGTCTTGAGGCATCCAGTGCTCTGCAGAACAGACATTCCATGAGCTGATGTGTCTTAACTCCAGAATATTATGTGGGGTTTTATTGTTAATATTTCTCTCCTTATGACAATTTCTCTGTAGAATATGGCACCACTTTAGCAGAATAACAAACATCAGCTGCTGAATGTATTAATACTGTGGAAAGCAATTTAGTATTGTATTGTTGTAAATTACGTCCCTTTACTAGCAGGTTGTTTCATTATGACAAAGATTTCAATTTTATCTGTTCTCGTGGATGTGAGGATTTATGCTTTGTGAAAGGTGCCAGCGTACTTACAAAATGATGAGAATAGTTCACCAAGAGGATAAAATGTCTGTCTCTTAGAGGAAGGAGGGCAGAATGAATTCAGACATAAACAGGAAGAAGAAAAAGTGACAGAAACTGTGATGAGGATGTAGGTCACTAGATGAAATCAACAGGCCAGAGAGGGCTATCAATAAGAGAATCTTAATTAGCAGTTATTGGTCAAGGAGAGTCAGTGACCACTACCCTGATGATCCGTAATTTGAGGCAGTGCAGTTAGGGATTTATTGGACATTAAAATTTTTGAAATAAATAGGAAATGAATGAGCATTTCTATTTTGTATTTGATGTTGGGCCTGTATCTGAACTCAAACCGTAATTGTGGGTTACTCATTTGAACTCAGGTGTAGGCACAGGAGCACGTGGGAAAAATTTTGGGTCTGTATTATTCCTTGGTGTAAATTAAATAGCTCATTCACCACCCCTCAGCGTGCTTGTCCAGACAATGTTAGTTTGATAAATTTGCTACAGTGTCCTTTCTTGCACGGTCTCAGCATCACCTGCTGCAGACATAGGTGGGATTATAGGCAGCTGGAGCTCAAACTTCCCAACTAATATTAAGGATGCACTTTAATATTAAGGAAACATCCTTATGCAGTTTATTTTCTGCACTTTGCATACAGATCCAGAGACAGACTTAGGATCTAACAAACACCCCACAAACTAAATTGAAAGCACCCTTGGAAGCAGACTAACATAGTCTAAGTCTGCCAACTGTGAGTTCTGATGCCCTCTTCTTCTCTCCGCCTAAATCCAAAAGATGACTGTTTTTTCTGGATAACGTGTTTGGATAAACAGTGTCAGGGGAATTAGAGAAAAACCTGATGAATTCTGAAAATGCCAAGAAGAATAACTGGACAATGTGTGTATTTAAACATCTAAATCTAAGATAGATCAGTATTAAGCGAATCCTGACTCCTTCTTTTGAGATTGCATTTCTGAATACAAAATTTTCTTCTGTTGAAGAAATTCTGATTATCAGAATGACCAAGATCTGTTAGAACAGACTGGATAGCCATTGAAAAACTGTGTTCCTAACTTTTCACTATCTTGCAATGGAATGGAAATGCCTTTTTGGGGAACCTGTGATAGACTCGATATACAATAGGCATTTCACATAATTAAATGATGATCCTAGTCATCATTTTTAAAAACTATGTTTTCTGTGACATTAGCAAAATCAGGTGCACTTTTTGAATAGGTTCTTCATCACAGTCAGATTCTGTAATGCCTTCAAAATGTCCTCATAGATAAAGCAGCATGAAGACATAGTCAAGATTCAGCTATATCTCTAAGGCTGGGGATGAGGAGTAAAGAACTGAAGACAGAAATGATGAGGCTCAAGGGTTTTATTTTAACAGAGAATTGGCTTCTTACCCCAAACTGTGTATGCTTATGCTTGGTTCTGAACTTTGTTACTATATGCCTGTTCGGTGTAAAAGGGTCAAGATTTCACACATCCTCCATGTTAAAGTATTGTAATGAATACTGGCAATGTGCTTCACATCACTCAAATGTACTGTGACAGTTTTGGCAGGATACACGTGGTATTTTTGCAAGGAACTTGAAGACGTACCTGTGTTCACATACAGATTTACACATAACTGTGTATCCTGAAACATGAATAAAAAAATAACCAATTATTTGGTTAAACACTTAAAACACTGTGTCTAAAGTACATATTCAAAGGCTGCCTTCACAGTTCAAAGAGCACTTCACACCTCACTGTTCTAGCCTCCCTCTTATCCATGACCTGACTGTTGGGATGAAACATGGGCATACAGTGTCCCCCTGTACATGCTCTGCTTTGTGTGGGGAGAAAACCTGAGTGTCAGGGATTACTGATGTTCTCTAGTTATGCTTTCGATTTGACAAGGAAGCACAGGACCACAGCTGCCACTTGTGCTGTGCAGCATAGGCAGAGTGATGTATAAAAACTCTCACCCTGTATCAGTTGATTAGACCTAGGGGCATAATTCTTGAGAAGTTTTCAGACTTGAGATAAAATAGCAACATCAGGTATAGAAATACGACCTAGTTTAAATCACCTTTAGGTAAGTGGGTGAGTGCCTGAAAAATATCTCAAATAAGAATTCTTGGTTATTCATTCTTCAAAATGGGGAGGGAATTCCAAGAGAGGTCCTAGAGCAATTTGCCACTAGCCTAATTTAGCTGAGAAACCTAAGTCTGATAGCTATAGCTATCTCTGTAGTCAGGGGAGAATGACTGTAATTTGATCAGCAATTTGTATCTGTGTGCTGAATTGTTCTCAGGACTTGCCTGCCTCTTCCCCTGGCCTCCAGGAACAGGCTAGGCTCCTACTTTATGCAACTTGCTTGAGCACCTGAATTGGAAGGAAGAATCTGGGTCATTACTTCTGTAATTTTTGGGGCATTACAACTTTAATTTGAAATTAATCTCTGAAAGAGAAGAAAGAATATACCTTTGTGGGTAATCATAATTGATAGAAGGGACTGTTTTGTTCTAGTTGTATTTGAAGGCACATTTCTAATTTTTAACCCCTCATATCTCCGGTGCTATCAACAGAGAGCCCATTGTGGATTATTGATTTCTGAGTGTATTTAATATTTTTAGTTTATTTTTATGGCCTTTTTAAATTTTTTTTTCCAAATATTTTAGTATGGGAATACTAAAAGTAAATATCTTCTCATTGAAAAAGACATCACCCATATCAGAGATAAGCTAAACAATACAGGTGTGCCTGACATGTTTCAACTTTAGAGAGTCCTCCAAATCGTAGTTAACATCTCTAAACTGTTTAAGCCATCAGAGCACTGTGAATGTTATTTGCTTATTCCTTCCCCCAGCTTTCAGGCAATGTGCTTGATTTCTGTTAGTAGAAGAGCTTTGCTAATTTACACCTGTTGATGGCCTGATGTCCTTTGATAATTGGCCACGTGGGTGAATGACTTCCAGAATTTTGTCTGAACATCAAATATCTGCATGCATAAATTGTTAAACTAAAGCATTTCTCCTTCTGTATAGCATATAATTGAATACATTATTACTGCCACCTTTTAAGACTGCATATGCCTGAAAGAAGAAAATTAAATAACTGTCTGCCATTAATACAAATTACTGTGTTTTGACAGTTTGTTAATCAACTAAAGTAAAAATGATGCTGTACAAACAATGCAGGTGCCTTTTAAGTAACTTTTTTTTTTATGTGCATGAGAATTCTTGTTTGGGCCTTTGAACCTTGTAGGATTTGTCCTGTGTGATATGTTAATATTCAGAAGCATAAATAAAGCTTTATTTGAGTTGTGCTCTGGTGGTGCAGAATGTATTTCCATGTTTCACCATCATATGCTGGCTATGGGTGTTCCTTCCACGTTGGACTATATCAGTATGCAAATGAGTGTTTTAGTATAGATCATATTTTGACATAACGGTATGTACTTTATACTATATTCAGGTATGGGCTGTTTCTGGGGAGCCGAGAGGAAGTTTTGGAGACAGAAGGGAGTCTACTCCACTCAAGTGGGTTATGCAGGAGGGTATACTCCAAATCCTACCTACAAAGAGGTCTGTTCAGGTAAGTCTTCCTCGTTGGTATTTAAGAATCTTGTCAGGTTATGAGTGACAATAAACAGTAAAATGAGTGTCTGCAGCGACTAAAGAGGTTTGGTGTTTAGTCAACTTGGGTATTGGCCTTTCATCCCAAACTGTAATGAAATCTATGGTATACTCATCCCAATGTTATCTTCTAATAATTAAGAAGCTAATGTATGTACAAATATTCTGGAAAAAAAATGTCCTGGGTTCAGCAGAAGCAGTCATTTTTCTCCTTCTTAGTAGCTGGTGCAGTGCTGTGTTTGTGACTTTCAGCCTGGGAAACACTGACGACACCGATGTTTTTAGTTGTCGCTCAGTAATGTTTACTCTGACCAAGGACTTTTTGAGTCTCATGCTCTGCCAGGGAGGAGGGGAAGCCAGGAGAAAGCAGAGACCGGACACCTGACCCAGATTAGCCGAAGGGGTATTCTATACCACAGCATGTCATTCCCAGGATATAAACTGGGGGGAGTTACCCAGAAGGGCCAAATTGCTCCTCAGGTCAGGCTGGGCATCGGTCGGCGGGTGGTGAGCGGTTGTATTCTCTTCCCTTGTTATCTCCCTTATCATTATTATTATTGGTGGTAGCAGCAGTGGTTTGTGTTATACCTTAGTTACTAAACTGTTCTTATCTCAACCTGTGGGAGTTACATTCTTTTGATTCTCCTCTCCATGCCTCTGGGAGCAGGGGGAGGACGAAGCTGGGGGGAGTGGGCGAGCAGCATGGTTCTGAGTTATCGACTGGGCTTAAACCATGACAAAACCCCCAAAAAATCTTTAGGAAATTAATTCTGTCTCAAATTATGCAAAAGGGTTCCTTAGAAAAATCAGGAGTTTTGATTTTATGTTAGTCTGTATGTAAGTATGAACAAAAATTAGAAAGCGCACATAGATTTTTTTATTCTTTTCATATAACCAAGATGTTGTATAGAGAAGTATGAATTTCTCCTGTGTTCTTATTAATAATTTGTTATTTTTCATACAGTTCAGTGCACAGTATCCTCTCATTTCCATGCGAAACCTTGCATTTATTTTTCATTGCACTCTTATACTAATCCTTCTACATTACTAATAACCCAACAGTTTCTTTCTGCGATCTAAAACACAAAACCACTGCCAGCCAACCGACTATTGATGCTGTTAAAGCAGATTCTTGCTTTCTGATACTCACTGGTGGGGAACAGCTTGGAGACGTTCTTTTGGTTTATTTCCTTGTTAACATTTTTTATACCTAATGCTGAAGTTGATACACTGTTCTCAGTGACAATCTGACTTGACAGAAAGAGCATAAAATGCTTAGTGGCACAAGCAACAAATGGACTCTTCAGGAACTGTGCAGAAGTGCTGCAAGACATCCAAAAGAAGAATCTTTCTAAAAATAGTAAAAAAAAAGGGAAAAGATGTGTTTTAAGTTGGAATAGAATAGAGTACAGTAGGGGTAGGGTAGAACAGAATAGAATATGTCAGTTGTGATGGAATAGACTATTTATATTCTATTGACTTAAAATTATATTCTACTGGTACTCTATGGAATTGAATAGAATATTTCAGTTGGACGGTGATGATCTAGTCCAACTGCCTGGCCACTTCAGGGGTAACCAAAACTTAGAGCATGTTATTAAGGGCATTGTCCAAATGCCTTTATTAGTAGACAATACTGCACTAATTTGAAATGCCTTATACATGCTAAACAAAACTTCTAGCTTAGGGAAAACAGGCATGCAATTGAGTGCAAATGCTTAATATATAGAGATTTAAAAATATCTAGAACAAAAAAAGGACACCTTGCATTAGAATTAACTAATTAGTAGATACCCAGAACTCCTGCAAAACATGGCAGTAAGAAGTGTCATCTGTGGAAGGATTGGTGGTGTGTCTTATTTGTCCAAATGATCCATTATTTCCTAATACTTCTGCAGTCTTCTATTTTGTACTTTCATCATTTGCCTGCACTATCTGTAATTTTTGTAAGCATATAGGGTCAAGGCCTATTTGGTAATTATTGTCCACTCTGTTTAATGGCCTGGGTATTAAATAATTAGATGATTTATATAGAATAGGGATATGCAGCACAATTTTGCTTTCCCAATGAATTCAGAGTTCCAGCACACTAAGGGTGAGTGTGATGGGCTGTGGAGTGTTTCTCCAAAAATAAGAAGTGCTGGTGATTGGCCAAGGGGAGATGTGAACACAGGACAAGATGGTGTAGCCAGGGATGTAGAAAAAAGATACCATCTCTTTCAGTTCTATGCAGTATAGGCTAATTTTCTATTTCAGAATAGGTCCATAGTACTGAGCTACCTTGAAAGCTTTTTACAGCTGCTTTAAGTATTGCATTTTTCAATAGTGAACAAAAATTAAAATGTTAATTAAATAATAAGAATCCTGGAATAAAGAAATAGGAAAAATCTTTGAAGCCTATTTTTAGATAGTTGTTTTAGTTAGATTTGTAGTGCAAAACCACAACTGAGGTTATTTTTCTAGTGGTTGTTTTTACGCACATTTGCATTATGGATGTTTATATTCCTCCAGATACTGGACACTAGAGGATTTCTTACTCAGAGATATTCAGAAACATAAGCACATATATCGTAGCTTTGTCTGAACATAAATGGGATGTGTGTATGCCACACATTTCTCTTCCTGGTTGTGCAGCTGAGCTGAGTTGCAGAATTTACTGATTTCAGCCTGCTATTTTTTTCCTACTTGGCTTCCTCTAGCCCTATTTTATTCTAATTCTATTCTGGTTTGGGTTGGGTTTCTTTTTTCTTTCTTTCTTTTTTTTTTTTCATCTTTGAACATATTTTTTGGATGTCTCTTTAAAGAGAGATCACACAAGGTCCCCTAAGATATTGCCATCTGACTGCTTCTAGCTGCAATAGTTTTCACTGAGAAGAGCAGTTCGTATGAAATAGTAGACTTCAGTTATGCACTGCGGTTGCAACTTTCTTATTCATCTGTTCTGGCAAGATTATATCTATGGTAAACATTTAACAGACATGTCCTCTAAATCTAGGAAGGACATCAGAGACATCTAAACAGTATCGACTTGGCAAGTGCTTGAGCTTTGCTTTCAGCCCATGCAGTCGTGAAAATTCATGCGGGAAAGTTATTTTAGTCCAACACCTTTCTGGCATTCTACTCTGAAGAAGAAAAAGCAACAGTTCCTTGGATTAAACATTCATCACTTCTTCTAAAAGCACATTGTCAGCTTCAGTCTTTATACTAAACCTGTTAGTCCTGAGTATCTTCTGCAGAAAACAAGAAAATTATGTTTCTTTCTTCTCTTCATGCTCTTAATAGGTTTTCTAGTAAGAAAGCATTGTGTTGCTTCAAGGGAATACAGGTCTGTTTTCCACACTGGTGGTGTTCCAGTCTTCTGCTATGATCTTTATTTGTTAGACTTCACTGGGAAGCAGAAGTGGTCTGCAGACATACTATTAAACTGTGTGAGTGGACACCATTTCTCCTACATCACCCAGGTTATACTGATTGGCTATACTGTTAACAACACTGTGTTGGTTCCCCCTGGAAACTTAAGCCTGTAAGGGCAAACCTCCAACCTCATAAGCCTTGCATGATTCACCTCTCTATTGGGGAGGTAGGAAATTCATGATTCTGCTTGAAAGGATCAGGTTAGTGTTACCCTGTGCAGTCGTGGGACAGGTCATTTAAAGATTTTCCTAGCAATTGATCTGCTATTGTCTTGCTAAATTGATGTCTGAAAGATAACTGAGTTACTTTGAAGCTTATGAGTAGAGTGCTGTAAAATTATTTTTACATTTTGTGGTGACAACCATACAGATAAAAATCTGAAAAGGCATTCTGGAGTGTGCGAAGGATTTTGAGCTATTTTCAGAGCATTAGCCTAATACATAAATAGACCAGTTTTGGCCAGCATTAGACAACCCAGGATGTTCATTCAGTATGAAACAGCTTTTCATATTTTGCTTACAGATGTTCAGAACAATTCTGTTTATCTGTATATTCATAAGCTTTTTGAAATCTGCATAACTCAAGTGGCACTGAAATCAGAAGGGAAAAACGCTGCTGTTGTTATTCATAAACTGGTTATGTACAATTACCATAAAAATATGCAGCTAACAATGATTTTCTTAAAAACAGGTCAGTTTATAAGCTTATGGTTCAGGCTGTTAACATCTAAGCAGGTTATTTTATTTTGTTTTGAGGTTTTTCCTTTGTTTATCTTCAGCAACTAGAATGTGAGAAAAATAGATGAATATGCCTATTTATTATCCAATATTAGTTAGAAGGCTTAGTGAATGTAACAGTTTATTTAGTTAGTTAAACCAATTTATATTCTATTCAATTCTAGGTACCTTTCTGAAGCATATTCTCTTGTACCCAAATCACAATCCTTAATAATGAACAATGAAATATAAAAAATATGCCACATGGACTTAGTTTTGTCTTTGAGTTACATAAAATATCGATTATGAAGTTATTTTACATTTCCCATCTTTCTGAGGGATAGTATTGTCTCTTGCATACTGATTAGTCTTCTGACTGATTCTTGTATGTAGGAGTTCCAGTTGTCCTTAAAATGTCTATGCTTCCAAAGGTCATCTGGAAGACTTCAAAATAAATAGCTGATGGAAGAGAGTGGAGAAAGGCAAAATTAATTTCTTGCTCTGCTACCTCCTATCCCTTTGGTCAGTTGGTGATTTACAAAGTTAGTTCTATTTCTACTTCATCTTAGTTATACTTGAAGAGAAGGGTAAGATAACCAATCAAGTCCACATCAAGTTGATGGTTAGTATGCTTTTGCTTTAAGAATGGAAACGTGTGCAGGGGGTTTGTCTCCATGATGTGGGCCTTATTTGACATTATCATGCATAAACAGCATGATCATTAAATCCAACAGCAGAAAATCTGACTGGCATTTTTCTTGAGCTATTAATAGCAATATAGACAAAATAAAATATGGGAAAATATTTCTTTCCTTCTCAGATTTCCCAT